AAAATATCAATGAAAATATTAGAAGCACAGTTTATGAAAAAGTCACAATCCCAAAAGAACAAATACCTATAATAAACTGAATGTGTTGTATCTGATTTAAAATAGTTTTGTTATGTTGTAATATTAAACAATGGATAATTCAGATAAAAATAGTATATTAAGGAACGGAAAATATATTAAAATATTTGTTGGTTCATTTTCCTGTAGGTACAATGGGAAAAGGATAATAAGTAGATTTCATTAAAAGGGCATTTAGTTCTTTACGTAATATCATCAGGTTTTATTTTATATTAAGGAGTTTATATTTTTATTGTTTCATACCAGACCTGCGATCAGGCATTAATCGCCTATGTAGGATTATTTTGTAATTAACTGGTTAATAATAAATAAAAAAGTAAATAAATGCGGTATTGACAAAACAGTATTGTATGAAAATAAATAAAAGTAAGAAAAAGTAGGGAAATAGCGAATATAAAGATAGGAGATGAAAAATTAGAGGAAGTGGCTGATTTTATATATCCATGAAGTCAGATAAATCTGGACGGAAGGAGTAGTAGGGATATAAAGCAGAGGATAGCGCAGGATCGAGTCGCCTTCAATAAAAAGAAGTCACTTCTATGCTCGCGAACCGTTAATTTAGAAATTCGAAAAAGGTTGTTAAAGGTGTATGTTTGGAGCACGGCGTTGTACGGGTGCGAAACATGGACAGTGGGCATGGCAAAATGTGGTGATACAGGAGAATGATGAGGATATTGTGGACAGAGAATTTTAGAAATGAAAAGGTAGTAGAAAAAGTAAGAGAACAGAGGACTCTATGGAAGTCAATAAGAAATAGGCGAGATAGGTTGGTAGGACACCTTCTCATGTATGAAGGTCTAATTAGAGACATATTAGAGGCAGAAACGGTAGTTAGGAGGGGTAGAGGTAGACCTAGATTAGATTACTGTTCGCAAATAGTTAAGGATGTGGGTTGTTCTAGTTTTAGGGAAATGCGAAAATTAGCTCAAGGTAGGTAAGAGTGGAGGTGCGTGTCGAACCAGTCTTAGGACTGACGACCTTATTATGATGATCATTGATATTTAAGACTATGTTTTGGTCGCATCGTTTTTGACGGGCCCTTCTTTCTGTTCTTTTATTTCGAAAGTAGTCATGAAGATGTGCTTTCATTCTTGAGAGGTATTGAAAGGCATACCAGAAAAGTGAAAAAGCTGTTAGATACTAGTGAACATTATTAAACACAGAATGAAGACGAACAAGTATTTTATCGCCATGTTGTAAATACTTAGTTGTCAAGAATTTCTTATATTGCTTGTTGTAAACGCACTGGAAGTTTATTAGCATCAGACTTAAGCATTCTTAGAGGTATTAAATCTGTGTGTGTAGGTATGATATAACAGTAAATTTATATTGCTTATTTCGTAAATTATAATTCCAAAAGTCGTGAATTGTGAAAGCACGGAATACTTGACAGCACAATCTAATAATTTCAAAACCATCTTGATGTACCTTACGTATTACTTACTAAATGTGAATGAAATGTACGGATTGCTATAGTATATCGTTTTTGTACAAACAAATAGTTCCATTATTACGGATTTTGATCCACAAAATGGCATTCAATCAAGTTTGCCCAAGTCTAATTTGCAATTTTATAGATTAAGCCGTCCTTGACAAATTTAATTGACCTCGACATTACAATTTATTGCATTTAGCATGTAGAAAGTGATTATAATGAATTTTTATTTTTATTAACAAGTGTTTTATGGCATATCGTAAACCGATATATACATCAACTTTTTTTTGGAATAGACAGTAATAGTAAGTAGTAATAGTAAAAGTTTAACTCATAAAATAATTTCTTAACAATATGTAGGTCAGGACCACAAAGAGGATTCGGCGACAAAAAACAAGTTAGTGGAATAATAAAAATTCTTCCCTAAAATTGTCTAATATTTCGCTATTCTATTTGAAGTTTTCTAACTAAGAAAATTTAAGTAAAGGGTACGAAAAATGCGATACCACGTTAATTACAATTACTAATTAATTAAATGAGGTATCATCTGCTTTATATCCCTACTACTCCTTCCGTCTTGACTTATCTGACTTCCTAGATTCCTCAAATCAGTCACTTTTTCTATTTTTTTCGTCTCCTATCTGTATATTCGCTCTTTCCCTACCTTTCCTTCCCTTGCATACCAGTTTTTTATTTTACTTTTATTTATTTTCATACAATACTCTTTTGTCAATACCGCTTCCATTTTATTTAAATCTCTCTCTAACTCCTCCTAGCTAGATGCTAATACATCATCTCCAAATCTAAGCATACTAATCTTTTGCCTCTGTATATCTATCCCTAGAGTTGTACTGTCTTTAATGATGTTGGTCGCGTCTTCGATGTATAGATTAAAAAGTAGCGGTGACAGTGTGCATCCCTGTCGTCTGACTCCCTTCCTAAAATTTACTTATCTACGTTGCAGCTCCAGCTCTATAACTGCTTATTGTTCTTTATACAAACTAAGTATCACTCTTCTATCTCTGTAACTCATCCCTACGTTTTTAAGTATATTTAACATCTTGTCCCTTTTAACATTGTCTAAAGGTATTTCTAAATCTACTAAACATATGTACGCACTCTTTCTTTTTTCTATCGTTTTCTCTATTGTTACCCGTAATGTTGTAGTTTTAGGGAGATACGAGGATTAGCTCAGGATTGGAAAGAGTCGCGGTACGGGTCTAATCATCAGTCTTAGGACTGTTGACCTTAAGACGATGATGATGAACATCTCGGATAGAATAGAAAGACAAGAAAGTTGAAACTCTTCTTTATAATAAGATTCTTCAAATTACTGTAAGAATATTTCAGAGAATAGAAAGGAAAACTAAACTTTCTGTAGGTTTTCTGTTAAAAAGACTTTCTTAAAAGCGGAACATAAGATTGAATTACTGTAAGAACGAATCGAATGCATAGCACACTTCTCTAATTCGACCATAAACCTGTGAATGACATTTTTTTTTATCAAACTTGTTAAGAGTGGACATTTATTAGATTAAACGAGGCTGCAGTTGTATTACATGAATATAGCATACACGTAACGAGGATTAAATGCTTAAGCATACAGCGGAGCCTGACTTAACTGTAATTTCGAAAGTAACACTTTATTTATTAGGCCAAATTAATTTGATACTCTTACCTTGTTGGAGGATTTTAAAATATATCGTAAACATGTGTGGGAACATCTGAAAAAAATGTGTAATCGTTACTAACTTGTGTCTTTGACAAATCGTTTTGTATGAAGAAAAAAACCGAAATGTTTCATGTCTCATTTACAAAGAAATTAGTCACAGTGTGGATTTATTGGTTAATATTAACCGGTAGAGACAGTAAAATATTTGGATTGTCAATTTTTTTTTTTAAATAGAAACGTAATTTTATGATTGGTATGTTCTGTTGTACATTAATCCTTCACGAAAACTCCATAATTTAGGGATTAGTAAAATTGCAATTATTAATTTTGTAAAGTGTGTTCTTAGTAGAATTTTTAAACTCGTCTGAAATCCAAAAGGATTATCGTGAAAAAAAGGACACAATTTTAATCGCATCCACGAAAGAATCCAACAAAAAATTTAGTGATTTTCTACATTTATTTCAAAATTTAGATACATATTTAGAAATCGACAGATTTCTAGACTATTCTAGGTAAAAGACATACTCTCAAATGCAGAAATACTAAATCAAATAACAAATGATACAATTTTAATAGCAAATTGCTAATTTTTTATGAGAGAGTTCAATGAGCGATCAAGAGAGAAACCCAAACTAAAATTTTGTTAATCTTTTAACAGTTTCAAAACAAATAGTTCGTATAGATATATTTTCCAATAGCAATATGTACTAACAAAATTTTTGAAATTAGTATTTAAAAATGGTTTCATAATTGCACACTTGATATGTCCTGCTGTATTTCAAAATTTTCAGGAACATAACTATCACATTATAAGGAAACGACGATTATAATAAAACGATTGATTTTTAACCATTCTAAGTAAAATTTTTGGAGTAAATCACATCATAGTATAAGAAATATCGCAATTATAAATTTGTATTTTAATAATAGTTTATATAAAACCTAACAGGATTATCATGAAAGGAAGAAGAAAACTTTAGTTCTACCCCTGAATTTACTTAATTTTTTACAAATTTTTTAACTATCCTTAGTAAAACTTTTAGAAATCCAGTTGAAAAAAATACATTTTTATTTGACACCTAACAGGATTATTATGAAAAAAAGAAAACAAATTTAATTACAAATCGACATACTCCTAATCTATCTAGACAAGAAGCATACTCACAAATGCAGAAATACTGAATCAAATAATAAACGATGTAATTCTGATACCACATTGCTAATTTCTTATGGGAGACTCCAACGGTCGGTCAAGAAAGAAACCCGAACTAAAATTTTCTTAATATTTTAAAAATTTCTAAGCAAATACTTCGTATTGTCTAAACCAATACATGTACAAGACACTGTAGAATACAAACCTTCCAAATTCGCCTTCAAATCCCTTCGAAAGGAAAACAAAGGCTATTTTTCATGCAACAAAAGCTGCACGGCCTGACATGATTCTGAGCCTTCTGGATTTGATATCGAGTTCAAAAGAATAGAATTCAGTAAATGAAACCGCCATGCACATTCACCGGATGTCGGCATTAACCGTTTCGTTATTTTTGCAATCGACTGTATAACACGATACTTAAAACTAATACCATCAAGTTAACTGTTTATCCAGTCCATTTGAATGTATATGCAACTATGCGTATCTGTCCGATCTGTATAAGATGCTACACGTGCAGAATGCACCTACATGCATGCCTCTGACACACACACATACATTTTATGCACTGAAATTGCTAATGCAAGTGCTTTTCTTTACCCAAAAAAAAAATCCAAGTTATTTCGAAAACGTTTTATTATATCGTTTCTTACGATAATGAGTCTTCACAATATATATTTGTTTATTATTTGTAAATGTTTATATAATAAAGATTATCCTTATTATTATTTACATTATGGTACAGCAACATGTGTATATGGGTATGTATGTACTATATATGTTGTATGTATGATGCAGGTTAAATGCTATTTTCCGATAACAGTAAAATGAAGATGCAGACCCATGTCAATTTCACCGTACGTTACGATTTTGTGTCGATGATAGTAGCGGCGATGGTGATGATAAAAAGAAGACGTACGAGGTGACCATAAAATTTTATTTCTTAAGAAATAAAATATATGGCCCTCTAGCTGCATGATGTGTCCTCTTTCGTTTAAATGAATTATGTGGCTTGATTTTACCAACGAAATAATTTACAAGCCAAGGTAAATTATACGGACAACGGTACAACCAATAATATGACGAAATATTAATCAAATTTAGAAAATGTTTTAAAATAAGTAGACCATTAAATTCTTTACGAGATTCCAAGAAAAATATTCCTTTGCAGTTTTTCAATACGACTTCTTGTTACTGAGTTATTAACAGTTAAAAGTTAAAATCGATCGGCCAATAACAGCGCTCCATTTTTGCTGCAACCGAACAGCAGAAGTCAGACTCCGCCTATTTCACCTTGCAGCTACCAACACGAGCTCTGATTGGTCGATTACTTCAACTTTCAATACGTAACTACTCAGTAACTAAGCATCCGATAAGAAAACTGTAAAGGAAAAAATGTCTTAAAATCTCGAAAGGAATCTAAAGTTTGTAAAATCAGGGGTGTACAATTTACCTTCACTACTTTCCATCAAACTGCTGGTAATATATGCATCTTTATTTTCTAAAGGGTATTACCGTGTGATAACATGAAAACAAATGAGCATTACTAATTAAATATAGCAGTCATTAAGTGCGTAGTCCATTGGCGACTAAAATTTATATAAGGATACAGAGATTTGTGTTGTACATGTTTGTATATTTTGCGAACGGCTCGTTGTAGCGTGACGATCAGAAAGTAATTGGAAAGAAAACAACTGTACCAAATTTTTGCTTGGTCATTTTTCCGATAAATTTTATGAAAAAGCTTGTTAGTTAACGTACTGTACAGTACCGAAGTCTACGGTAGGAACTCTCACTTTCTTCGTGATTATAAAAAAATTTAGAAATCAATAATCGCTATAACGAAAGGCTATCGGACAATGTTATTATTTATTGCATTTTCCTCTTTAGGGAAATAACTTCACTCGCGGACTTCGGTACCTACACAACGTACACAAATATATAATAATAAAAAACGATCTGTGTTATTGTTTTTCCATTGTAAAAAAAATTACTAAACAACTTGTACTGTAGTATAGGCACTGAAAGTAACTTTTTTTTCGCTCGATTTTTTCTTTTTATCGTTTTTTTTTATGACACTTTTGAGACTTCCGGCACCGTGGCCCAATCTGAGCGTCAAATCGGCTAATGTGCTCCTGTTTGGCCTGTCAGGTTCGTCGGGATACCTGGTATAAAAATCGGGCGAGGATCTGTACAAAAAGTTCCGCAACTCCCCCGGCTCCCTTGAATATTCTGAACTTCTCTCTATCGTATTCATATTATAAGGCACAGAACTAAAGTCCCTCAACTTGGACGACATTCCGAACAGTCGGTTAGAAACTGATTTCGAGATGTCAGCTGTCTGGGGTCCCCCTTCCAGTTCCTTATCGATGACATTTCGAGTTGTGTCGACGTATCTGTAGGCCATAGGGGTTAAGTTCCGTGTTTCGCTACGACTTCTGGATTTCTTAAAAAATCTCGGCACAGAATTAGTCCAATTGGACTTATTTTGACTCAATTCGGAACCCGTGAAGAAATTGGCATATCTAAACTGCTGATAAGGCCTGGAAGTCATGGTTGTAGTAGTGGCGGATTTCGGAAAGTACGCAGAGGGATGCTTTTCTTTGTGCAATGGCATAGATTTTGTACTTTTAGGAGAATCTATTTTGGTTTTGGCAAGGACCAAAGGATTCTTCAGCATGCTGTTGTTGTTGTTGTTTGCCGATGGTACGCAAACCCTAACGTATTGGCCTTTGTAGATGTCGTCTTTGGAAGATGCCATTGGTGGTTCTGGGGCTTTAGACTTTGTTTTTTTACGCCTTTCGGGCCTTTGAGGACCGTCCAATAAATCTTCCGCCGAATTCCAAACTTTCCTAAGTATCGTTCGGGCACTAATTAAATTTCTTTCTGGCACACTTCGAACTTCCGTCTGAGTAATGTTCTGGTCGAGGATGTTCTCCGTAGATAGAGATCTTTTATGAAAAACGGTAGACACCTTCTTGGTACGGTCTACCTCTGGAGAAATCTCCTTGGGAGTGGTCTCGGTACTGTTAGCTTCTCGACATGGTTCGTTCGTCGTATTCTGGGCAACGTTCACTTCTCTGGTCACTTGAATGTGAGTGACGCCGTTTTCGTCAGTCCTTTGGAGCAAATTGAACTTGGTCGCGCCTCCGAGAGACTTCCCGTACGCCTTCTGGCTACATATGGCTTTGAGCGTACTAAAACTCTTGTAAAAAGTCTCCAAACATTTGCTACTCTCGAATTTAAACACTAGCACTTCTTGTTTAATAACGAAAATTAAAAGATCGGCCACGCTAACGTCAGTATAACACATACAATCGACTAGATCAAACACTTCAAAACGTTTCAGTTCTTTTTCCGGTTCGACTCGGTTCACATCCGCGTCCAATTTTTCTGGATCGATATTCGAAGGTGACGGGACATCTGTATCGTCTGAATCTGAGCCTGCCGACCCGTTAGCACTATCTGTCTCGTGTGACCTGACGTTCGTGTCACCAGCAGGATTTCCATCTTCACTAGATAGCAACGAAACGCTGTCTATGTCAGATTCAAAACCCTCGTCGACATTTATAGATGGATTTTTGCTATTATTATACGCGGACACTTGAGATGGTCTCTTCGGAAGATGAATGTTCTTGTCCAAAAGAGCAGTTCTCATCGGGAGTTGTTTTTCCCTCGGTTGACGCGCATATTCAGGAGAAGGAACTCCTTTTGGAAGTAGAAGTAGCTTTAACTGGTCCAATTCACAATGAAGCTCGTACCGCAAAAAGGGTGGCTTCTTTGTCAAAGCCAACTGGACCAGGGATGTTAATGGCGAGGTTGTGGGTTGCCGGAGCAGGAGGGTACCTGCAGCCATTTTCAATGTATCTGTAAAAACATTTATTATATTAAGTCAAAATGATCTTCAGAAGGAAAATAAGGCCCAAAGTGTTTCATTGAAAGGTGGCTACAAACGTCTTCGACATGGGAGAGTGTTATCTCTTTCATTTTCAATACAACATACAATAATAAAGAAACCATAAATACTATTTTAATATTAATACTATATATAAGAAGTACTTTGATATTAATAGTGGTTAATATATCAAATATGAAATGTGGAAATTCATTTTCCACTTGAAACAACTATAAATTACCTCAAGTTAATGAGAAAAAATTTGCAGCTGTTGTGACTCCCTCGTCGGGAATCGAACCCCGGACCTTTGGCTTTACGCATTGAGCTTAGTGGTGCGTAAAGTTCGGGTTCCATTCCCGGCGAGGGTGTGACAACAGCAACAAATTTTTCCTAGTTAACTTGAGCAATTTACAGTTGGTTCAAATGGAAAATAAATTTCCACATTTAATATTTGACAATTTTAATATTTCAAACACTTTTTTAATAAAAATTCTTAGGGAAAACCACAAACAGAAATGTGCTAAACTACCTTGTTAAAAGTGTGACGTCTTTTATAAAGGGCAAACAGGCATGAATATAAAAAGTAGACTCAAAGAACATGCAAACAGATGTATAACAGATGACAAACCAAGAACAACGATGAGGCCATTGAATTGAAAAAATAATTTTCTTACACTGACAAAACACACGGTAAGCAGAGGTAAAAATAAAATTGAAATTAAAAGACCATTGAAACTTAGACATAACATACAAATTATCAGTAACCACTGAAAACTTGTATTGCATTATCATATGGAGCCTTTTGTTCGCCAAGATGTTAAAAATCCGACTCCTAATAAATATTAGGAATTTATGTACAGGAAGCCGTTGAAGGAAACTTTGCTTGGCAACTAACAATAGACTATTAAGAAGAAAACGCCTCTATTGTCCGACTAGACCGACGTGATAAATTACTGCAGAACTAGCAGGAAAACTTTTTTCTACTCGCATTCTTGGCTTTCACCATAAGCATCCGAATAAAATCTGTATAGACAAGATTTTACTTGAATGCAAAATTTTATCATAATAATATTTATATCTAAGAAAAACAAGCAGCAAAACAAAATAAATTTAATTGATATTGACGAAAAACAGACGATAAAAAGCCGGTCCTTATTAAGGATACTCATTTACCAAGAACAATTTTTTACATTAAATTCAAAAGTAGATTTAGAAAATGTTTATTTTCTTTTATTATCTGCAGAACAAACGAAACAATTATTTTAGAGAACAGTGTTACTTAAGGGTTAAATTTTTCTTTAGAAAATACAATTCACAATAATTTATTCTAAAAATAATATATAATAGTGTTCTACCTTGTGGATATTTATTTGTTTGTCAACATAACAACAAAACAAACGTGAAATGTTTAACAACTATGGCTTTGTAAAATTTCATCCTACTTTATTAAGAAGTTCAAAAGATATTCCGAATAAACTACAATATTTAATTAAAAATTAACAATTGGACGTATTTTAGTTGGAAATAAACCGTTGGAAAAAAGTGAGCGGGTCTAAATGAATCTATCCGGGTGTATGGTTGGTTCCATACATTCTAAAGGCATGTGATAACCATCAAAGTTTTGTTTGACATATATAACTGATTACATTAAAGAATACATTATACAATCATTGAAAGGGCTAAGTGCTACCCACTGAAGGCTTAAAGTTGAGTTATGATGGGATTAATTTCAAATGCTAAGGATCGCCGATAAAAGTACCATCCTCTAGAAACGTTATTATAATAATGTACTATCGTCTTCTTTTAAAGATTTACAAAAGAAAATATAAAGATTTCTGAACAATACCTAGTCAGTTACACGATATGATAAATTATAATCTGACAATCAACCGTAAAACCGCGTACTTAATTGCTAATTACTGTAACTTATCTCTTTTTTCGATTACCAGAAACTTACTATTTTCAAAGGTCAAAAGTAAATTGCCACAGTTCAATTATACTATTGATTTCGTCACACTGCCGTAAATTGAAGATATTCGCGAGTGATTTGATTGCAAAATCGAATTTTTCGACGAAACATTCCAACAGGTCGTTTGTTACCTTTAAACCACACTGTCACAATTACGCAAGAACACTCTAACACATACTCACATACTTAGCGATATATGTATGGAAAGCATTACTTGTACCTGTATACAAACATACGGACACACATCCACAGACAATACCCAGTTTATTGACTTCACATAATACCTAGTGACCGAATCGCGATAGCTACGAATGGGCCAGTATGTTTTTAGGCTTCGAAATCACTTTTACTAGTATGTATAAAAAACAAGATATACAGGGTGATTTATGATCTACAGCACGCGTTTTTGACGAAAGAAAAGAAGTTTAGATACCTAGTACAGTTGGTTTACAAAGTTCTTTTACAAATGAAGATTGCAGTTTCCTTCTAATTTGCATTGAAAAATGCAAACGTCTGTAATAAGAAATTTTACGTACTTTTTACAACTGAGTAATGCTGTCACATTTACAAAAACTTTTACTCATAAAACGACTTTTTGTTACTTACTGACTAGACAGAACGTCTAGTTTTACTCACAACAGATGTTATAGAAAATATCGTAAACATAGAAAAGAGGTGCCAGGTAGGAATTGCAGCGGACACTAATAAAGAAAAAGGAAAAACGTTACACCAATTGATGTGTAAAAGAAAGAGATGCTAACAAGACTAGAGCGGTTGTAGGGAATATTGGAAACATACAAGAGAGATGCCAGGTAGGAATTGCAGCGGACACTAATAAAGAAAAAGCAATAACATTACACCAATTGATGTGTAACAAATAGAGATGTAGATAAGCAGAATTTGAGCATGTTGCCAGCATCGGACTATAAAAGAAAGTTCAATATTCTCTGGAATTTAGAAAAGAAAAGACGCTTGCTTAAAGATATAATTCCAACCAGGCAGTTATAAAGCCGACCCTGATTTTTTGCGCACTTAAGCAACCTCAAACCGCTGCACCGCTTACTATCATTCAGTTATCTCTTTTCACTTTGTCTGTACTCCTCATGAAGCATTTCCTAACTTAACAAGGGCGTGTTCAAAACGCTGCAAATGACTACAGTTCCAAACGGAAACAAGAAAGAACATACGTCTGTTCTCACAGATAATTTATTGTAGACTTTGTCAATTTTGATCGTCCGCACTGTAGGTCCTTACAGAGAAAGGTGTTCTGTCAAAATTTGGATTGTGTTAGTTCTCGATGTGAAGACCAAAAGCTATATAAAAACTCATCTTGTTGAAATGTGGTTGGGAGTCCTTAAGAAGGAATACAACTTTAAGGATTCGTATCTCAAATAGATGAGTTTTTACGACTTAGCGCCATTGTGACTTTCGATTTACATGTCGAGAACTATCAGAATCCAAAGTTTCAAGGACTTTAACAAAAGGTCATTTTCCGTAAGGACCTAGCGGGGTCATTTTCAAATACAGAATTGTAATTTTCAATGAAAACTGTTGGCATCTCTAATAAGATAAATCAAAAATCAAAAACAGAATAACATAAAAAACCGATTTATTGTCTAACTCACTACTGAACTCATTTCATATTACTGAAAGCTCATCAGTGCCAAAAATAGAAAATTGTGTATGTTCTTCTTCATGTTCTAATAGGTACTCAAAAATTTATTTGCAGATGTGAAAAATGCGCGGTATGCAAATTATTTATTTAATTAAAAATTTATTCGTATTTTGACATTTACTCGCCTAATAAAGTTTTCCAAATTATTATAACGATCTACCACAAAAAAAGAAAAATGAATATTTATAATGGATGAGGATTCAACAATGATTCAGGAACTGTTGTAATGTCAAGGCTCACATCAACAACATAAACAATAGCATTAAGTATATAATATAAATAAATATGAACACCAATGTAGATAATAATGTCTGGATAATACATGGTTGAAATATAAAGACAAACTATTTTTTTTTATAGTTTTTACTTCCTTCAGATAGATCAATTTATGCGTTGGAGGACTTAACACAGAAGACCAAGATCTAGACCGAATCCGAGACTGAATCAGCAATACCAAGACTAATACCAAGACTGGAAGTCTTCGTCTTGATCTAGGTTTGCTCATTACATAATGTAATGGTGCCTGGATTTGATTGGCTGCAATTGACTTGCTACGCATACGCAGTACTAGTAGCCAATAGAATCTAGGCACCAACCACCTCACCTGAGCATGTTTTTAGAACTTTTCATATTAAATTACAACTAGAAACAAATGACTGAACGAATCCTACAGGATTCAAATTTGGCAGGCGTTAAACAAATGATATTTTTTACATTTCCGACCGTAATAAATAGAAACCGTTCAAGTGCGTCATTTGTTATTTATAATGGTGGTTTCGATTAGGCAAATTAAATTGAAATTTACCGCTCTAATATCTACAAAAACTCCTTAATTATAACGAACACAGTTCGGAGGTCGTTCGAATTATTAATTTTCATGAACCCACAATTTTTGCTTCCGTCTTTCCGAAACAAAAATACGGTATATTTTCGCATTCTCATAATTACTATTAAGATAATGGCGGCGATGTGTTTAATTGAAGAGCACGGATGCCCGCGTTCAATTACAGTGTTTGTTTGTAACGGACTGTGGAAGGTACAATTATTATCCTAACGTTAATCGCAGCCGTCTTGATTATTGTTACAGCTAGATATAATGAATAATCAGTTTGCTAGATTATTATTTCCTCGAACCCTAGGAAGGAAGTTGAAATACCTCTAGGTTGGCGGAAAACAATAACGTAACAGCTAATGAGAGCAAAACAATTAAAATTATCTTCTATTATCATAATCTAACGACCAATTGCACCATATCTGATGCACTCGTTTTATTACATGACAGGTACATTGATCATATCGAATGTATGATAGTTAACCTTAATTGTATT